CTGGATTCAAGTATTTCTGGTGCGCAAGGCGGGGCTGATTAGGTCTGTTTTGGGGCCTTCCAGCAACCACAGCACACGAAGCGTTGCACCAGAGAATTAGTTCCCAAAGGACCGCGCCCGTTTTGGAGCCCTCCAGGGGCCACAAAACACCAAATGTAGCACCTGAGAACAAGTTCCCAAATGACCGCGCCTGTTTTGGAGCCCGAGAAAGAATTAGTTCCCAAATGAGGTGGGGTGGGTGGTGGGGTCCCCTCCCCTCCCCTCTCCCCTCCCCTCTCCTCCCCTCCCTTATATATATATATATTTATTTATTTATTTCTTTATTTATTTATTTATATAAATGCACACTTGATAACTGACGCTCACTCAGAACATGATTAGCTCAAAAACGCCATGGGTACAATATGCATGTGCGTACGTACACTCATACATAGCCGCACATGTATGTGTGTGTGTGTATAAAACTGTAACGAATGACATTTGCATCCACGTGTGAGACGGACCAAATGCAAACATGCAGGAAGCATGGCATTGCGCCCCTTTGGAGGGTTTGCTCACAAGTGCAACATCTGTTGCAGTTCGGTATCTACATATTTACTTACGGTCCGCATGTGACAAGAAGTAGGACGCACCACATTACATGCTTTCCTACCACAGAATCTGAGTCTGTTGGCGATTCGAGCTTACTACTTCGGATTGCTTTCAGTGTCTGTTCGTGCCAGTCAGCAAAGGCCGCAAAGCCGTGAAGTTCAAAGAAATCGAGATGACTCTTGGCTGCAACGTGGTCCAAGCTGCGAACTTGGATTGTGGCTTGGACTCATCCAGCGACTTGACACAAGGTCTGGTTTAGTGCTCGAGTAAAACGGAGTCCTTGCAAGATCTTGTCATCGCTTGTCTCGTCCTCTTTTCGCTCCACCAGTCTTCAGGTAGTTGTATCATGGATGGTCGAGAGACTGTACCACGATTTACCTATGTTATAACACACGTAGACGCAGATGCCAAGGCACCCAGTTGAGAAGAAAGTGCGTATATGGCGTGCATACTTTGTATAAACCTTCAGCGAATAGCGTGCACCATGGTAATCCGGAGAACAACAGTTGGCGAGACTATAGGAAGCCTGACATGTTATCATTCGATGGAACCCATCGCAGACAGAACGCCTACAAAGGCTACACGTCAGGAACCATTAGATATGTGCACATGTCTGAAGGCATGTCTCAAGCAGGTAGAAGTCTAAGTATATGTAGATGTGTTATAAAAGGGCGCTCTTTCAATCAATGGAAGGTGTGATGACACAAGAAAGGACACGGTGAGTTCATATACAAGTGCTGTATACTACACTAATACACGTATGTATTCATTTGTATTTATTATGAAGTTCGTGCAGTGGAAAGTGTGATGAGATGCAGCAAGTGTCGTGTCCAGGCACCCACACTCACGTTTGGTTGCAAAGCTGCAGCTTTTGCTTCCCTTGCTTATGATCTTGTAAGCCGATCTGAGTGCTCATGCTTGTTCTGCCTCCACGGCAGGAACGGTCATTGAGGCAGGGCCCGAGTCGGTGAGCCTTGAGTTTGGGTATTCGCATACCTAGCCATTCGGCAACAGCCTACACATCCCTACGTGGGGCCAGGACTCCCTCAGGAAAAACTCAATCGCGAGGTGTTCTTAAGGCTACATGAAGCTCGATCAAGGTGAAGCTCGCGCAGGAGCCCCTGCTGTTTTGAATACTGAGAGGAAGTACGGCAAGCTATGTACAGCAGATGTCCAGTCAGACTCCGACCTGATAATGCACAAGGCACTGTAGTTATAACTCACGAGAAGCTTGTCGCGCAGGTTTCTTGGTGTCAGATGTTGTCTCTAGTCGGTGACCAAATCAGTTTGAGTCTCGCTGTGCGACATCTCTGCGCAAGGTCTGAAGATCTAGTGCAACAGCAGGAGGCCACAATAGACTTAGATGTAACAAATCTACACGAATCACAGGTTTGCTGGACCTTTTGCTTGTAAGCTCCCCCCAAGGAGGAAGCTTCACTCCTGTGTGTACAGGGAGTGAATACCCATGCATCCACTATCTGCGGCAGCACCTCATACGAGGGCAGGCGCGTGCGAGCATCGACCAAAGCTTGAGAAGTCCAAACCAAAATGCCTCGCCACTGAGCAGAGTCGCTGCTCGTGTGAAATAAACATCAACAGCCTAGACCAAATCGGACATGAACAAGCAGTAGCATTCATGAGTTCACGAACATTTCCTTGGCGGGTGTTGTTCAGTCCGATACAGATGGCCGTGTTTATGGGCGAAAAGCAGAGGCGGCATGCATTGCACATGGCGGACTGCATGCGTGATAAGGTGCATTAGAAGACGTATAGTGTTGCAGCCGAAATGGCACCCAGTGTTTGCCTAGCTTCTATCCAGAGGATGAGGTGGTTCGCGTGATTGAGCCTGCAGGGCGAGTTGCGTGGGAATTGGCTTTGGATTCTAGTCAGGCTTTGGTTTGGGCATCTGGTCATTCAAAATCAGCAGCGTGGCTTTGGGGGTCGGGTAAGGGTGCAGTGGTTGGCTACCGGAGCCCTATGGAAGCCTCGTTACCACTGTCTCGAGTTCCAGGTTTAGCATCGGAATGCCAGCATGAAAAAGCAGAGTTACCTGCAAGGGTTACTTACTGAAGGAGCCCAAGCGCTGCCGCATAGACCGAAGAGGCATCAGGGTTCAGATCCGAAAACCCTTCAGCGACCTGACTTCCTCAAGCTGAAGCTAACCGTATATGCAACCGCAATGAATCTTTGCAAGTCCTGCAAACCGACCTGTCTTGGTCTCGGGCAGCCGTGTGGGCTTCGATCTCCGTGTAGTCGTAGCATACGTCGGCGCCTCTCCCAGTGCTTCGAAACACCGAGCCTCTGAGGCCGGCAGGACGGTTTAGGGTTTAGGGTTTAGGGTTTAGGGTTTAGGGTTTAGGGTTAGGTCCTCTGCGATCTTCCAGCTTCTGCCTTGCCATTTTCGGCAGTTTTTGCTCCGTTCAAGCCCCTCTGCCAGGACGAGAACCGTTTCACCTATGCAGGCAGTGCTTCGAACCGATTTGCGGCATGGCTGCAGGGGGTTCCTGAAGTTGCAACTTTTCGTTGAGAGAGACATAGAGAGAGAGACCGAGGTCAGCCTGCATCGACGAGTCCCACACCTGTCTGCAAGTGCCTTCTCGGAGGAATCAAACCGTGAAGGCGGACAAGAGGCAACGAGAAGCTATACAGAGCCTAGCCGGGGCGGAGGTATTGCAGTTGCTTTTGCAGCAGGTCTTTGAGCGTGCTTCTTTGAATGGGGTGGTTGTCGAGTCCTTCTTCCTTCAGCAGCAGATCCAGTGGGAGATGGACAAATACCCAAGTCCACAGGTTTCACCAACCAGCACGGTGAGGAATCTGCACAAGCTCCTCTCTCGCATGAGCTTGAAACAAATGGTTCAGTTTGTCCGGCGCAGCCCTTTTTGCGACCCCATCTTCCTCGACCACGTGCAGGGACAGATGTGTTCCTTAAGGCCAGGTTTTACGACGAGTGACCTCGGTGGCTCAAGGCAGGCCACGTCCGTATGGCTATAGTTTGCTGATGGCTGTAGCTCTTTCGGGCACTTGGGTGTCTTGTTGCACTTTTCGCCTGTCTCACCTGCACGTGCAACTTCTAGGCCAGCCTTTAATTAGTATACACTCTTCCCCCCCTCTCCTTCTATGAGAGCAGAGTGAGCTGCTTGAACCGAGCGCGCAATGTGCGCACTCACTGTTTGGAGACTCGGCCGGGTCTGGCGGAAGTGCCCCTTCTCCAGAAGTAGGGAACTCAGGCCCTCAGCAGAAGACGTTCGAACGGGTCACCAGTCCGTTCTGGGGTCCATTCAAAGCCTTTGGATACAGTTCCGCGAGTCTCCGAACAGTTGCTGTCGGGTCTGCTGTGTTATTCACGGCTGCTCCCACGGTGCGTCAGAAACCAGCCTGTCGGGATCTTGGGTCAGTCTCCGAGGCGTAGGCTAAGTGAACTGGCGAGCTCTCGGATACAACTGTAGTACATGCACACACATGCACAGACTTAAAGACACACACACACACACACAGACACACACACACACAGAGACACACACACACACCCACACCCACACCCACACCCACACCCACACCCACACCCACACCCAGACCCAGACCCACACCCACACCCACACGCACACGCACACGCACACGCACACGCACACGCACACGCACACGCACACGCACCCGCACCCGCACGCGCACGCGCACGCGCACGCGCACGCGCACGCGCACGCGCACGCGCACGCACACAGACACAGACACAGACACACAGGCACACAGGCACACAGGCA